TTAGAAAGAACTTCCGTGTGCTGAGAGTATTGGAAACACATTAAAATTAATTCAAAATTTAAGATTTGCTTTTCAAACAAGAAGATTGGCAACTAATTTTTGTCTGCTATTTGAGATGCATAACATGAAAAAAATGTGATTCACATTATCACAATTTATAATACATACAGAAAATAAATTTGATTTTTCATCCATTGTTTTAGTCAAATTAGTTCCAGAGCACCTCTGCGTTGAATTCAATTTAAATCTGATTTTTTTTAATATCAGAAATGGGCTAATAATAGATAATCAATATGCATTAAACTAATCATGTCTGTGGATTACCTCAATGAACCAAATGAATTATTTTACAAATTAAGCAATTATTATGCATAGATTTAGGTCTGTATATTGTTTCAGGGTGCACATGTACAAAGTTTCATTATAATGTAATGATTAATCCTAACTAAATTAGTTGAAAGCTGAAAAGTAAATTATTATGCAAATTAGGTAATTATTATAGATTATTATTATTATATAAACCTAAAACTAACTTGATCATCACATTGTGTTAGAGTATATATGTACCAAGATTCATTAAATTAAGATAAGTACTGTCACAGACCATCTATGTACGAAGTTTCATTGAAATGTGATTATAACCAAAAATTATGATTTATTATGCAAATTAAGTAATTAATATGATCTGATTTTAGCCCAAAACTAATCAGGTTTGTGTATTGTCCTAGAACATCTATGTACCAAGATTCATTGAAATGGGATAATTAGTACTTGCGATATCAGTGTAAAAGTAAAAAATTAACTAATTATGCAAAATAGTTGATTAATATGCACACATTTTTAGCTTACAATTAATCAGGTCTTTGGATTGTTCTAGAGCATCTATGTACCAAGTTTCATTGAAAAGTAATGAAGTAATAGTACTTGAAATATCAAAAGCTGAAAATTGATTAATTATGCAAATTAGGTAATTAATATTTCACATATCTGTCTGTGCATCGTTCTATGTATCTATGCAAGTTTCATTGAAATGTGATGATTAGTACCTGAGATATCAGTGGAAAAGCAGAAAATTGACTAATCAAAACCTAATCAAATATGCGCATTAGCCCAGAGCTTCTATTCACCAAGTTTCATTAAAAACCAACATACGGTTCTTGAGATATCAGATCACACATACAGACAGGCTAACTGCAAAGACTCGATCCCATTGTGTGCTTCGCACACGGGAGTCAAAAATAAATAAAATGTAATAAAATAAATATTAAAATAAATGAGAAAAATGTTTTGTCAGCAAATGTTTTACACAACACTCTTACAAGGCAATCTCGTTCTGACCTACAATCCGACTCTCACCATCCACCTCACTCACACCTACTATCTCATTCTCACCACCCACCTCACTTTCACCAACCATTCCACAATCCCCACTCACCTCACTCACACCTACTATCTCATTCTCACCACCCACCTCACTTTCACCAACCATTCCACAATCCCCACTCACCTCACTCACACCTACTATCTCATTCTCACCACCCACCTCACTTTCACCAACCATTCCACTATCACCACCAACCTCACCCACACCTAACATCTCATTCTCACCACCCACCTCACTTTCACCAACCATTCCACTATCACCACCCAACTCACTCACAACTACCATCTCATTCACACCACCCATCTCACTCACAACTACCATCTCATTCACACCACCCACCTCATTCACAACTACCATCTCATTCTCACCACCCACCTCACTTTCACCAACCATTCCACTATCATCACCCACCTCACTTTCACCAACCATTCCACTATCACCACCCACCTCACTCACACCTACCATCTCAATCTCACCACCCAACCCACATTCACCAACCATTCCACTCTCACCACCCACCTCACTCACACCAACCATTCCACTCACACCACCCACCTCACTCACACCAACCATTCCACTGTCATCAGCCACTTTAGTACATGTCAGTGATCTTTTGTTGCTTTGTAACAGGATGTGGGGACGATGCACACTTTCTCTTCTTTTCTTTCTTTTTGTTTTCGGACTGCCGACGAACCTTTTTAGTCCCAGCTCGGACAAAGTCCGAAAACAGGGATTATTAATTTGGGTTCCGTTAGTCCGTGTGTCCGTCCGGAGCCATTTCTCGGACATATGGCTGACTGGCAGCCATTTTGTCCCTCAAATTTGCTAAATTCTGATATTTAAATGTGAACAGGGCGATTTCAATCAAACTTTGTATGGTGATCATGCATATTGGGTTATTGGTGCACGTCACTTATTTTTCGAGATTCGATCCGAGATGGCTGACTGGTGGCCATTTTCTTTTTTTCCGTTTTCGTGCGGATTCCGCTGAAAGATATGGCCTGATTCACTTGAAAGTTTGTACATACGGTAGGTACTATACATCAAGACAATACAACACCATGTTTTGTTTTGAGATTTGATCAAATTTGACGAAATGGCGTCCATTTTGTTTAATATTATAAAATCACAGTCTGTAACGTGTCTGGAACTGTTTCCCGAAGCTGAATAGGTCGATTTCAATCAAACTATGTATGATGATCATGTATATTGGGTTACACGTGCAAAATTTGGACCAAAATGGCCTACTGTTTTGTCTTGAGATTTGATCAAATTTGTCGAAATGGTGGCCATTTTGTCAAAATAAAACATAA